TTGGAATACTATACAAATATTTATTTTTAAAAGAATACTTTCAACATTTTGCAAAATTCTTCGTTTTTTCCAATTCAAATATTTTTAAATTCACCGAAATATTTCGACAGAAAACAAATAAACAATTAAAGACAATAAAATAGACAAATATTCCATTAAAATATTTAGTCATCAAAGGGACCTGAAAAAAAAATCCCGTCTTGATTACTGGTAATTCACTCGTTTTTATTTGTTGTAATTGTCAATACGAAACGTTAAACAATAGATGGTGTTGGATTTTAACACTCAATAGTCGTAAAGCTCGTATAGACAATAATTTCGAAGGGTCAAAGAGAGTGACATAGTGAGAGAGGAGAGAGAGGGGAGAGAGGAAGCAAAGTGAGTAGTGAGTGTGGGAGATTAAATAACGATAGCAAGGAAGGGTTTCAACATTGAGTATAGTATTCACATTGGCAAATGGAAAGTGAACATGAAATGGCTCTTCGTGGTATAAATGTTGCATAGGTTACATTGTTGTGACATGCGCACACTGACAATGTTCCAAAACGATTCAGTTGAGGTATTGTTGAATTCATGTCAATTCACTCTGCTTCAGGTTTACCTATATATATACGTATCTATCAGACATCCCTCTGAAACGTGAGAAAATTGTTTATTCCTATTCGATTCTCTAGACTCTGACAAGTTAATTATAACCATACCCTTCACTCTCTCTCTCCACTATTCTAATAATGTCTTTTGATTTCTGAATATTTCAATTCGAGGAAAGAAATTATTACCATTTTACTGAGGAAAGAAAATTTTGTTGAATTTCGTATAGGAATGTCGCATATTCAATGGGAATATCTTATAGGAATATCTACCCTAATAGCAGGTAATATTCCAAAAACATTTCTGGAATATTCCATTGGAACATTAGGAATATTCATTTGAAATATTCAATACAAATTTTAGGAATATTCATCTGAAATATTCAATATAAATAGGAATATTTTTTAGTATTCCGAGGGAATATTTCATAGAAATCAATGGAATATTTCAAGGGAATATTCCATATAAATATGGGAATATTCTATGGAATATTCAATGAAAATATCTTATAGGAATGTCTATACCAATAGCACGGAATATTATTTTTTGGATGGATGGAATATTTCAGAGGAATATTCCCAATGTTCAAATCGAATATTGAATATTCTGCAGAATTCTATAGAATATTCCCTAGGAATATTAAAAACATATTCTTAAAAATTGGATGGAATATTTCAAAGGAATATTCCTAATGTTTCAATAGAATTTTATGGAATATATTAAAGAACAAATTTTTACAGTATATTTCCAGTGGAATATTCGATAGAACTATATGGAATATTTCTATAAAATTCTATGGAATATTCTAAAGAACTATTTTTCCAGGATTTCGGGAAAAAAAAAATCTTTACAGTATTCCAATGAAATGAAACAGTCTGATAATATTTTATACAACTTTCAGTAGTAATATAACTCTATGGTCAGCCGCAGTAAAAGTATTTGAAATTAAATCTTGTTTACAATGCTGGATAAAAAGGAAAAGAAAGAAACTTTCCTTTTTTTTCAAAAAAAAAAAAAAAACTAATTTCAAAGTTTTCACTCGCAGAAAATTATCTGTCTCCACCAAAGTTAATAAGCGGTTTTATATCTTGTGAAACTCACAAGAAAATTATCGTGATTCACGAGTTTAATTAATTTGTTTTCATATTATTTAAATAGATTAAATGTTTTCTTGAAACAAAAACTTTTAATAGTTTTCAGAAAGGTTTCAAATATGAATTAAAAAAAGAGAATAATCTACTTCATGTTTTTTTTAAATACTATTTTTAAAAATAATATTTATAAACGTACTATTTATAAATGTACTAACTATTCATAAACATACTATTTTTAAAAATACTATTTATAAAAATACTATTTATAAACGTACTATTTATAAAACTACTAAAAAATAATTTTCCTCTTCTTGTTTTTTAAATACTATTTAAAAAATACTATTTGTAACCGTACTATTTACAAACATACTATTTATAAAAATACTAATTAAAAAAATACTATTTATTAAAATACTATTTATTAAAATACTATTTATTAAAATATTGTTTATTAAAATACTATTAATAAAAATACTATTTATTAAAAATTTAAAATACTATTTATAAAAATGGTATTTATAAACATAATATTTATAAAAATTCTATTTATAAAACTCTGAAAGATATAACAATAATCCAATGATTTATGCATTTGTAAAAAAATTTCAACTTCCAAATAAATGTGCAATAAATTCTAACTTATATGCACGAATATCAAAATATATTATACAAATTATAATATTTATTGAGAAAAGTTTTTCCAACTAACCTCCCTTTCCTCCTCCCCCTATCCCACACACATACACACCCATAGATAATAATGTCACAAATATTTTTTCATATGAAAATTTACAGTTACATTTTTTTTTCTTTTTTTTTTGACTTTATCTTACAAGAGTCATAAGTCACTCAAAACAATTTATGATATGCCCAAAGCAATTCAAAATTCCCACACCCATAATATTAACGATCTAGACGACACGATTATCGCCATTCTAACATTACGATAAGAAATTATGTCACGCATTATATAGTAATAAATTCATATATGCACACTTATGTGCGTGACTTTGTTTCCATTTAAAGGGAGGGACAACATTGTAACACAAAAAAGAAATCGTGCGTAACTGTGAAAAATGATATATTTGTATAAATATCGTTGACATGGTGTCAATATTTGAAAATTGAAAAATTAATAAGTATGGATTTTTTTTTTTTGAAATTTATTTATTATTAATTACCTATATTCTCCTTTGGAAGAGAAGCTTTTATCTATTTATCTATTTTTTTATATTTTAATTGAGGAATTAAATTTTTTTTTGGCCTTAAATTTTACCTCGGATTTTACTCCTCAAGGATTTTAACTACCATAAAAATTATAACCCACGAATACTGTGAATACCATAAATTGTAACCCTTACATTTTAACCACCATAAATTGTACTCCTTAAAGACTTTAACTACCATAAATTGTACTCCTCAAAGACTTTAACTACCATAAGTTGTAACCCACTAATACTGTAACTACCATAAATTTTAACCCTAAAATTTTTGAGTACCATAATTGTACTCCTCAAAGACTTTAACTACCATAAGTTGTAACCCACAAATACTGTAACTACCATAAATTTTAATCCTCAAAAATTTCAACCACCATAAATTGTAACCCAATAAGGTTTTAACTACCATAAATTGTAACCGATCAAGATTTTAAAAACCATAAATAGTAATATTTACATATTTAAACTACAATTAATTGTAAACCCCAAAGGTTTTAACTACCATAACTAGGACCAGGACATACTGTGAATACCATATATTGTAACTTTCAAAAAATTCAACTACCATAAATAATTATATTCACCTACTCTAACTACCGTAAATTGTAACCCTAAAAAATTTGATTATCTTTAATTATATTCCTAAAAATTTAAACTACCATAAATTGAAAACCTAAAAATTTTAACTATCATAAATTGTAAACCTAAAAAATTGTAACCATAAATTGTACCAAAATTTGAAACCCTCAAAGATTTTAACTACCATAAATTGTAACCCTTCGAGATTTTAAAAACCATAAATAGTAATTTTTACATATTTTAACTACCATAAATTGTAACCTTAAAAAATTTTGATTACAACTAATTGTAACCCCTAAAAATTTAAACTACCATAAATTGTAAACCTAAAAAATTGTAACTATCATAAATTGTAAAATTCAACAAAACTAAAGTTAAAATTCATACGGAAACATTCCTACAAAAAATATTTTTAGCAGCATATATAGAAAAACTTTTTCAAAGGCAGGAAAAAGTAAATTGAAAGGGCTCGAATTTTTTTTTTCCTCTTTCTTTTCGGGGGGGAAGAAATGTGATGGTCATTTTAGAGGTCGAATGATGGGGAATTTGGTACAGAAGATAAAGGGATCTAAAGCCACCCAGGGGAACGAGAAGAATGAAGAAGAAAAAAGAGGCTGTAACATCTTTGGCATTAATGCTCGATTGTTTGGAAAATTAAGACGCAATAAATTTTGAAATAAATTTTTTTTTCTTTTGAGAGAAAAAAATTTCTTTCTTTTTTTTTGACTTTATCAATAAATCATTATTGACGTATTTTATATACAATAAATATAAATATGTATATATAAGTTTCGTCATTGCGATACAAAAACGTTTTATTGCGCGAATATTGCGAGCGATTATTTTACCAAAAGATTTCATCATATGCTTTGACATTTTATCAACTGTCGATTAATGTCAATTACATATGAGTGTGTATATATATATCTTGTGTGCAGTGAATTTAATCAAGTGAATGAAAATTATTGGAGCAATTTATCCCGCAGTCTTATGACTTTGACCTTTCTTTCAATCAAGATACACGAATTTTTCTCCGACAAAAAAAAAAGAAATATATATGTATATAAAAATATATATAAACTTTTCGTTCGTATAAATAAAAGAAAAGTTTATTTTAATTTTATTAAGTCGATCACCTTGAAATACTAATTTCGAACTGCTGTGCTTTCTTTATTTTTGGAAAAAACGATTCTCTATTATTAAAAAAATGTTTGTATTTTATCACAAGAATCATTTCGTAATGAAATAATTGGATAATTAATTTTAGTAAAACTGATAGAGAAATAGTAAAAAAAAATGTTGACAAAAGAGGGTCAGAAATTTTTGAATAGAAAACTTTTCTATATCTGACGTATTAGAAAAGAATATATAAATATTTTCTTTGAATAGTCATTCTTGATAATCAGCCATAAGGGTGAAAAATACAATTTCTATTTAATTATAATTTAAAAATAATAATTATTATTAAATAAAAGAATAATAAAATAAATAATAATAATAATAATTGTGAACTAACCTGTAAATTGGTGTGATGTCATTCTTGTACCAGACAACAAGGGTGGCAGAATCATTTTGCTTTGGTGGTCGTATGTCGCAAGGTAGCTCTGCAGTTCCCTGAAGAACCGCCCTGGCTATTTGTGGTGGTCCTGGAAAAATAAGAAAAAAAATATTATTAGTTTTCTTAGGCCAAAAAAAAATTATCCAACTCCAGCAAACCACATTTTATGACAATTAAAATTTATAACAATTATGATTTCCAACAACTATGGTTGGCAAAAAAAATATAGATTGCAACAACCATTGTTGGTAACATGAATAAAAAATAACAGTTTGTAACAATCATAGTGGTTAAAAAAAAATAGTCGATAATTAAAAGCTAGGAGAAGGGGCCCCCCTCCCTCCGGCGAACTACCAACGCTTGTTCAATTGGGCAGAGTGCTAAAGGGAGGGGGAAGCGTCCGCATGGTAGGGGCCGCTTCTCTCAACGTAAAATTAATAAATTCTTCGTTACAATATTTCGCTACTTTTTTCTTGCTTACAATTCGTATTATCGTCAATAAATGTAAAAAAAAAAGAAAAACACTTTTCCCTCCTCATTTTCTTTGGAATGAAACAAATCTTATCACAACTGGACAAAAAACCCCTTTCATTCAAGATCACATTGAAAAGTGTTGAAATATATATTTTTCCAAGTACCGGAAATTGAAAATTCAGAAGCAGGGTGTGATTTATTTTTACGATTTTTTCCCCCACCCACCCATCCACCCAGCCTTATAACACCCGGACTGTAAATCTAAGGTGGACGAGTCAATCTGACAGTCGGTCTCACAAATAGAGAGGGAAAGAGAGAGACAGAGAGACAGAGAGAGAGAGAGAGAACTGTCAAGATCGAAATGTTGGAAAAAGGGAGAAAATTCTCCACGATGAATCCTCGAGAAGTAGATGAGAACGTGAAAATGTTACAAAAACCGGAAACGAATATGTCACATGTCCAGCATTGGCGTCTCTTTTACGAATAACTCGCACTTTCCTTCTACAAGCATCATCAACGTTTTGCAAAACTTTTCTCTTCTTTTTTTTTACTTTCTGTTCTATTTTTTTTTCTTCTCTTCTTTTGGGAACTCAATCATATGACTTTAAACGCTTTTCATCATTTTTGATTTAAAGTTCAATAAGAACCAACTTCCTTTCTATTAAAAACTTGAATGACTCGGCGCTTTTCTCGAGTTTTTAATGGATCTCTTTTTTTCGGGGGGAAAGGGAGGATTTCTTAAGTTATAAAATTGCTATTTGTCACCAAGACTTTTTTCTGATTTATAGAGTCATATTTAGAAACGTCTTTGAAATTTGGAAAAGTATCCGGAAAGTATCTACTGGGAAGTGTTACCAACTAAAATTGTTGAAAATTCTACTGGTAACTGATACCAACTGCAATTGTTGACAACCATGGTTGGTACCAACAATTATTGTTAACCATAGTTGGTGACAACTTTAATTTTTAACTATCATGGTATCGAATATAATTTTATCTTCAATAATTTTAGATAAAGTTCTTTGAGAATTTTCAAATCCATTTGTTAACAATTCAATATTACGAAATTTCAATTATTCAGAAATTCTTCAATTGAATACTTATTAACAAAAAAACACATCAAATAATTTCAGAAAAAAATTCAATTACACTTTTTCGAAATAATTAATTCTACAGATTTATTGGTTATAAGTATGAAAAATTAAGTTTTTCAAAGAATTAAATTTAAAACCTTTTTAAAAAATATTTATGTAAAATTTTAAATAAAATTTATTTTTAAATACATTTTTAATTTTTTAATTATAATTATAATTATAAAGAATTTTATCAAAACATTTTCAAATAATTGATTTCTTTTGAAGATTTTTAATAAAATTGTTAAGAACAATTACATTTTTCGAGGAATTCGATTAAAATTGTAACTGTAAAATTGCAATTGAAAAATTGAAATTCTGCGATGAGTTTTATTTATAAAAAATAATTTAATTTCTAAAAAGAATTTTATTATTTATGAAAGTAATTCAATCCCTGCAAAAAATTTTATTATTTATTGAAAATAATTAAATTCTTGCGAAGAAATTTACAAAAACTTTGTAAATAATAGAATTCATATAAAATTGAGGAATATTTTTGAAAATAATTGAAATTTTGTCAAAAATTTGATTAAAAATTTTTAAAAAATAGAATTTTGACAAAAAATTTTCTTAAATTTTTTTTAAATAATTGAATTTTGGAAAAGAATTTGATGACTTTTGAAAATCATTTTTATGCGATCATTTATAATTTTTCCAAAATTCAATTTTTTTTAGTGCTTTTGAGTAAAATTCGTCTATAAATCCACTATTTTTAATAATTGATAAAATATATATATTAAAAAATTTAACAAATTTTAGAAGAATTATTATTATTTATTAATTATTATTATTTTTCCATAGAAATTAAGATTTTCAAAAATTTCAAATTCAAACCTTTTTGAAATTAATTATTATTATCTAAAATTTAAACTAAGATTCATTTTCAAATCAATTTCTATTAGAAAATTCTACTAGAATTTATTTATTCAAATACAAAAGTAAATTCTTTGTTGAATAATTGAATGTTTCTTAAAATTTAATTCTTATAAAGAATTTTATTACCACATTTTCAAATAATTGAAATCTTTTGACGAATTTTAATAAAATTTTTGAAAATAATTGAATTTTGAAGAATTTTTTTATTTATAAAGATAATAATTGTGATTTTGTTAAAAATTTTTGTAAATTTGGAACATAATTGAATTTTATGGTAAGAATTTTATTACTTTTGAAAATAATAGAATTTATGCAATTATTTCTAACTTCTTTAACATTCAATGTTTTTAGTGTTTTTAACTAAAATTCTTTTATAAATCCATTATTTTTAAAAATTAATTAAATATATATTGACAAATTTAACATAATTTTAGAAGATTTTGAATTATTAAAATTGTTCAAAAATCTAAGTTCATGAAAATTTTAATTTAAATTCATTCAAAATTGAAATTCTATAAAAATTTCAATTTGATCCGTTTGAAGTTTATTTATTTATGAAAATTGTAAACGCAACTCTTTTAAAATTGAATTAATTTTGACATATTCAAGTAAAATTATTCATTAAATAATTTATTTATTTTATAATATTTAATTTTTAATTCAATAAATAAAATTAATTTTAATTTTTACTTAATTAATTAATTTTTAATTAAATAAATAAAATTAATTTTTACTTAATTAATTGATTTTTAATTAAATATTTAAAAAAATATAAAAATAAAATTAATATGTTAATATACAGAATGTAAAATTATTATTAAAGATTGAAAAAAATATTAAAATATTAAATATTGAATAATTATTATTATTAAAATTATTATTTTTTATTATTATTAAAGGACGAAATAATGAATATATTTTGCAAATAGAATAAATTCGTCTAACAAAATTCTTCTAAATTCTATAATAACAGATTTTGAAAATAGTAAATAAAACGTTTTTGTTTTTTTGTTTTTTTCTTTTTTCCCCTCTATCTCTCTCAGGTTAAGAAAATATGAAAAGAGAATGTTATCACGCGAAACTCGAGTTTATAGATATATGTTTGAAGGAGCGGTTGACGGTACAAGTACGGACAGGGCTGACGCCCTTCAGGACTCATAATACGGGAGAGGTAGCCCTGGGGAAATTTAGCAGACGCCGTGCAAAACCGTTGTTTTATAAGCTTATACATCGTACACGCGAGGCTGCCCTGAAAAGCAGGAGGTGGTTGATAGAAGCATCCGTGTTTCTCAGCAGAGCGTCGGGTAACAACATTAACATTAACTCTCGCAACTGGCTTGCGCGAACGAGTTTGCTTTTAAAAACAACATCCTCCTACCTGCCAACGCTATACCAACTATATATCTATATATGTATACCGACCAGTGATAAAAGACACTGCGGTGTAAAACTGACAATAAAATACATCACTCTGTCAATTAACTCGTTTAAATTTAAGAAAATCACTGGCGAAATTGTAACCCGAGGCTATTTATCATTTTATGTTCAGCCAGAAGCAAAGGAGCATGATATATTGTTGATAATTAATTTTTAGAGAAATATTGATCATTTTTTTAAAATAGATTTTCGTCTTTTGGTTGCGGATTTTGTTATTTTTTATTATAATTTCAGTTGAAATTGAAAAATAATACGAAATTTGTTTCTATTTCAGTTGGAATTGAAAGAATTTTACGAATTTGCCCTAGGGTAATAAAGGATACTTTATTAACCTACGAGCTGTCAAGAAATTGACCATTATTGCCCTAGGGTAATAATAGATACAATGTTGACCGCCAGGCTATAAGACCCTAGTAGAAATTTGTCATAGTATCTTTAAGGGCACTGGACAGTTCCACTGGAAAATTTCGAGGCACTTTACAGTTAAACTGGCTAAAAACTATAAAGTGATGTCACGCTAATTTCTTCAAGTTATTGTCCAGTCAAATTTTACAGTTTCTGATCATCAGTCCTGTAGAAAAACTATACAAAATAATTCACTTGGAAATGTCAAAACTTTCTTTATATTGACGTTACGTATTAAACACGTACAAATTTGAAAATATAACGTTAAATTTTTTTGTCAACAAATTAAATAAATTAAAATTTTACGAAACTATATTTTTACTGTTGGTGTATCTATTGTTCCGTATAATAAATGATTTATAATAAATTATCTGTAAAATTATTTTTAAATAACTACATAATTAAAAAAAAATATAAAAATTACTGATTCTTGAACACATGTCATTTTTTTACATTAAACAACATTCACTTTTTCCTTTAATTAAGCACAACACTGAAATAAATATTATTATTTTATCACACTACAAACTTATAAGTAAACCCTAATATGAAGAATTAATTCAGTTCAAACGAAAAATATCTAGCGGTTTCGGGGAGCGAACTCGGGTCACACTGGGACGAAATACCTAAACGCACGCTTTACGCATCACGGCCGTTCTAGTCGATGGACGATTCCGGAAAAATAAGAACCATACTCTACCGGCAGGTAAAGCAGTTCCCTTTTTCATCTTTTCTAGCTCAACTGGCGAATTACTGGACAGCT